AAATTACAGGGAAGAAGCTAAAACACCAAAAGACACAAATGTGGTTTGTTTCTGGCACGGCAATGTATACAGTTACTTGCGTAACTGGGGCAACGTGGAGCTCTGATCCATTGCACTGACCTGTGCTGCCTTTTGAGCTGGACCACTTCACCCACTGCAGTCTCAGTTTCAGCCTCTATAAACAAATCCTGGCAGCTCTCCTGTCATGCAACAACAGCTACTCGCCGCTAAAGTCACGGCACGAGCGTAGAGCCTCTGGTAATCCACATGAGTCGTACACTGACGTTGATGTATTTCTTCCATTATCTACTGTACATGACCTGTGTCGCAGCCCCTAATGAGGAAAAAGATCATCTCCGTGTCTATTTGTGTAGCCTTTCATCAGGGATACCTTTCCCTGTGTACTATATTTACTTCTCCCAGTGCAGTCACCAGTGAATATGTGAGGGTCTTTAGTTATGCAGGACATTTATTTGCGGTCAGGCATGTGTACGGCGGCTTTCAGCACTCGCTTATCAAAGACAACCTCTGGAGAATTCAGGCAGACAATCCTCCTCCTCAAACCTAATCCCATCAGACTATATTTTCTCTCACTGCCTGAATTATAAAAGGTTATTTTAAACTGTCGTCACCTTATTTTTTATTAATGTCACCTGTGTCATTGACACCAAGGCCTGTCAAGATCAAGACATTGGTTGACTTCATTAATTTGTGGAAATAAATCACGATTGGCCCACGGGAAGAATGACTCATACATGGTCTTTTGGTATTATTAATATTATTTTACGGGCTCTGATCACCATTTACATCCTTTTTGTGTCTTTTTTTTTTTTTTTTTTTTAAAAAGATGTTCTATTCAAGTTCATCAGACTTCAGGAACGTCTTTCACCAATACACTTGCTATTAAGGTGAGTTACCATTGTAGCGCCAATGTCGTTATACAGGGCTTAATTAATTGCTACAAATCACTACAGTCACCTTTGTGTACACAGGCAGTATACAGCCGTATTTAATAAGCACGAAAAGCAGTTGTACTTTGAATTAAGAACTCAAATGGATCAGAACTGTCTTGTCAGCTGGATATCAGTGTAATTATCCCAGACAGTGTGATCTCTGCAGGCTGTTTATTTTGATTACCTCCTAAGTAGCGTTAATTCATCCCAAGATTACGGCAATATTTTTAAATTTTAAATGAAAGAAATGGTTTTGTTAGACACTAGACTTGAAATTACATAAAAAAACATGACATAATGCTGCTTCTGATATCGTTTGCATGCGCAAAAAAATGCCTGCAAAACTGGGTCGCAGGGTTGCCAGTCAGGGTTGATCATGCCACAAAAATGACCCATTCTGATAACTGGGCTGTTGATCAGTGCATCTCCATGAACAATATATTCCTTGTTACCTAGTATTATGGGATGTCAACTACAAAAACCACTGTATACTGTACTGCAATACTGGTAATACAATAACAATGAAAATGTATTATTTTTTTAACATTCGCACCCTTTAAATGAAAAAAAAGAAGAAATTCTAATTTATTTCTAAATATGAATTACTTATCTTTGAGGATGCCAACCACTGTAAACCATAAATATAAAATGCTACAGTTTTCTTCACCATTTGTAGTCATGTGATTGTTGGTAATTCGTAACAGTAATTTTAGCAGCCTTGAGTTTATATTAGATTCAGAAATGAGAGAAAACTGAAAGCAGGATACGTGTAATTGAGGTCATGGCCACCAGGCGACCATTACTGAGTCTAAGTATCTGTAATTGAGTTATAAAATCTTAATTCCTGCAACTGCTCTGACAAAATGTCCACGTGAGAGTCACTGACTCCCATCTGTTCCACTTCGCAGACTTGACAACGCCCAGCCATGACAACCTGTCACTTGCCTCACTGGATAGATGTTTCCATGGTAGCACAGGACATGGACTGCAGAGAGTGGGTGGGCGAAAACGTCACTAATTCATTCCCCACAGCTGGAGTGGGCAGTAATTCAGACAACTCTCAACCCCCCTACACCCCCCCATCCCAGACAAGAGGGAGCTGTGCAGAGATAAAAGACTGAACTGAGGGTTTAAAGGCCCAGCATCTCCAAACCTGGTGCATTTACATGTTATTATTGAACACAGGGAGCTATTAGACCCTCGACTGATACATGACGCTGGCTGCTAGAAACCCACACAAGACCAAAATACACAGAACTGAGCGATGGCAGAGAAGAGTGAGGAGGAGGACGTGTGATCTTCAAATGAATTATAGAAAGAACTACAAAAAAAACCTGATCTCAGAACATTTCACCTCAGAAAAAGCAAAAACTTACATTTAAAACAATTCTCGTTGATTTCTCTCCACGACCTTTCGAACTGATGACCGTAAACAAATCCCACACACGTTGCAGTATTTAAATTTTTAGCTTAATTATGGTTAAGTAACTGCTTTAACAGCATCTTCAACAAAAAAAAAAAAGAAATAATTCAAAACCCTTCAGACTTAAGACTTTTACTCAGCACGTCATGCTAAATATTTCATCTCAGATATGTACAAATTGAGGTAAAGTGGAGCTTGAGTACATTTTTACCTCCGTTCAACCTCAGGGTAAGTGGACGAGCGCATCATCCCAAGGGTTAGGGGTTCAATCTATCACAGCTTCTTTCAACTATGCCTTGCATTTGGCTCTTAAAGAGATGGTGTTTGATGGTTGTGTATGTGAATGAGGCTGAATCAGTCATTTGAAATGTGGGCAATGGGTGGGTGAGGATAGGGCAGGGGGGCACTGGGAGAGACAAATAAAAACTTTTTTTAATTCATCTTTAGTGAGGATATTTAATTTATGTAACGTATATTTAATTTATTTAGATTTTTTTTTCATTGCAAATACATGGAAACATGGGGCAGTCTTACAGATTTTAATGTTATGGAAAATATGGAATAGTTTTTTAGGTGGATTTCTACCCCTCAACCAAAACAATCATTTCTGAATAGGAGTAACAAAAGAAAATGTTCTTCAGGCACTCCTGGTTTCTCCCAGAGCCCTAAATCATACTCATTAGGCAGTTAGATTGATTGAACAGTAATTTGAACTAAGATATGAATGTGGTTGTCAGTGGTTGTTTGTCTTTATTTGGGACAGTGCAGTAAACCGTCCAGAATGCACCCCGCATCGGATGGATGGAATATTTTGACCTAAATTGTAAAGTGTTTCTGGGTTACTCTGCTAGGAGAACTGCAGTGTGTGAATCAGAATGCACTGTAGATCCAGAAAGGTACGACCCGAATGTGTCTGAATGAATAAACTGTCCTAAACATGTGTTTGAATGGTCCTACGTGCTGCTAAACAGCTACAAACCTGAGGCACTTTGATTTTTTTTTATCCCCTCAAAGTTTCCCAACTCGCCACAACAGCAGAGTGTAATTATGAAGAAAATGACCTGAACCTAAACAATAAAACAATCTAAAGATCTCGAGATCACAAACACCGTGTTTCTCCACACTTCATCAAAGACATATTTGTGTACTCTGTCTAAGGTCATTACTGTATTTGGGTTTGATTTTTAAAGTCCACATAAATAGATCCCAGAAGTCTTTCCAGAGAGAGAAATGAAAGCACAATCCCTGAACCTGTTAGCTATTATATTCATTTGCTAATTTCAAACTACACAATCACAAACTGCGCACAAGTGCTTGGCTGCAGACTAAAAGTTAACGGTCATACAGTAAATGTGGGGGAAGAAGTAAAAAAAAAAAAAAATCCCACAGTTTGAAGAGTGAATTCATCGTCTAAAGGTTCTTCGAGGATAACGTACTGCGATATTGGCTGAATTTAATGACGTCTTGTATCGAGACTGGGAAACATCTTTAAACCACTTGGATCACAGTCCTGTCACTGTGTAAATAAAACACAGTAATAGTTCTGTCAGTTGTTGCTAAGAACTAGCTTCATTTAGGAATCTGCTGGATGTTTTTTTTTTAATAATTATTGTGAACAAACTTAACGTTCTGAATCTCATACTGTCGTTTGGTTTCCATCTTGAACCACTTATCTCAGACGCTTCTTAACTTTGCAGACCCACATCCCGTTGCCTACAATCCAATTAGAGTAAACAATGACAACACATTTGTACAACCTCTTCCTGTAGGAGTTTGGTGTTTGGATTTTAACTCTCTTGTTAATAAATATGCTAATAATAATGTAGTAAAATATATATTTAATACTGTATAAAGCAGAGATGTCAAACTCATAAACCTCATACCTATAAATAACAAGTGCATGTTTTCCCCCTTTGTTTTCATGCAAATAAGTACGAATATAGTAGAAATAAATATGTATAATGAAATACTTGACAAGTTATCACTAACATGCAGTTTTTGTTCTTTCATTTTTAACATTCATCTAGCGGGCCGTACCAAACCCCCAAGCGGGCCGTATGTTTGACACCCCTGTTATACAGTAAATAATCAAATCCTGTAGTACTAGCTTTCAACATGTGTCGCTGTTTTGAGTCAAGAAGGTGTACATAAAAAGTTGAATATACAATATATGTATCTAGATACTATATATGTATATATGTGATGATCATCTACATTTAGTCATATACATTTTTTTGATAATTAAAATTAAAAGTTATAAATTGAAGACTAACTTTGCGCGATGTCATTTGATAAGTTGCTGTTTCTGAAAGAATAGCCAAAGTTATTTGTATAAATAATCTAAGTTTTTCGTATAGCTTTCTAGAAAATGCTGCTTTTGTGAGATCAGGTGAACTTACCTAATATCCTGAGTTGTGTGACGGTGCCATGCAGTCCATAAAACATCCACAGGGGTCTGGAGTTATCAACACACAGCTGCATCCCAGCGTTGACACCGTTATGGGTCATTATGAGTTCACCGTTGGCGTTCACCAGAAAACCAAGGATATCTCCACTGTGGAGTGGCACTGCCACACGACAAACAGCCCAGAATTCCTTGCGGTCAACCAGAGACTCTGGGTTGGCTGGGAGGTCACTGGGCCTCAGGGTGGCTGGGTCACAGGAAGTCACTCCATAAGAAAGGCAAGCAGACCTTGGGACGGTCGCCTTCAGCTTCAAAAACACCGTCTCCGCGGTGTGGATCGGACGGTTCGTGAGCACCAAGGTTCTCTCGTCGCCGCGGTGATCCAGCCGCGCAACCGTGTGCTTATCCAGCACGGTAACATGGCTGCCGTGCACTGAGTGGAAGTGAAGCTCAGTGTCCAAATGAGTCGGCAGTAGCGAACACTGCTGCGAGTTCTGAGAGTTCTGGGGCACGTGGCAGGAGGTGAAGCTGAAGGGCTGTAGAGGTTCATCTTCGTCTTCCTCGTTAACTTCATCCACATGCATCTCCTGCTGCTGCAGGCTCATGTCGCACAGGCTGATGGAGAGGTGAGGGTCGTCTCTGCCTCGCCGGATGGAGGCCTGGTGGGTGGTTGCGAAAGAACGAGGACGGAGACATTCCACAGGGAGCATCTCACTGTCTGTGGAACAAACGAACACAGGAATCTTATGTAATCACAGTTTTTTTGGGGTGTTTTGAAATAAATGTTTGATGTCAAACAGTATTTTTTTTAATTATTAAAAATCAAAACTGAACCACCTTCAGGAGGCGGCGATTCTTCATAGTGTACAGAGGATTCCTACAGTAGTAGGTACTCAGTACTCAACATATTCTCATGTGCATTGCTGTTTTGTGTTTTATTCGCCATCTGTGCAGTGTCCATTCATCATCCCTGTCACTGTCAACTAGCGGTGGCCCCCGGCTTTTCCCCTTTCTCTATCTGTAATGCACTCACCACAAGAGGCTAAGGCTTGTAGGTAAACAATATGGACAAATACGCCAGTGTTTTTATGTTGGGAAACACGTCAGGGCTTTAGAGTGAGGCCGTAGAGTAGCTGCAGGCAAGTGGGTCTGTCACAGTAAAGAGCAATTCCATATTGCTTTTTAAACACACAGGAGAGGAGACATAAACCAAAAATAACACAATACAGCTTTTTTTTATCTTCTCACTAGCTATTTCATATTTAATCACCATTTTCTATTGTAGATATTACAATGATTGCACATTAGTGATATACTATCGTGATATTTTTCCCACAATAATGATTACATCACTATACAGCAGTTCTGCAAATATCAATATATTGCAATAAATTTTGTCCGCGATACATTGCAATACGTCATATGTCAAATTCAGAATGTATTAATTGCTCTGAATCCATTTTACATGAATTACAAAATATTGTAAATAGGGATGTCGGATAATATTGGCCGACCGATATAAGCATATTATGTAATATATGTAAGAATCGTTATCGCTTTTTTTCTCCGATAATGAAAACTCGATAACGCAACACCTGGCTTTCGGGATATATATATATAAATAGTTTTAGGAAGAAATGGCCGTATATTAAAGTGAAAGTCACTAGATGGCAGCATTGCAGCTCATTTAATTAATTTCATACTCATAAAGTAGTTTGTGCAGATAAATAAATAAATATTACCAGGCCTATATCGGTATCGGTTGATATCATAATCGGAAATTAAGACAATATCGGCATATCGGCAAAAAGTTAATATTGGAAATCCCTTATTGTAATTCATATATTATATTGATATAAATAATATTGATAGTAATATTTCTATTGAGAAACTGCCCAGATCGTAACTGATTAAGCAGCCTTCAGTACAATCACAGCAAAAAGTAACCAAATTTTGAATAGTATCGAAAATATCTCCTCGTGTTCTCACCAACTCAAAATAGTTCTTCCCTGAACTACTTTGGTCAAAGTAAATTCCACAAAAAAATGGAGACAGATTAAGATGCCTTTCCATAAACGCCGTCAGTGCGGATGGATGAGCATTGTGGCACACTTAGGGACATGTGACTAAATTTAAAAAGGACCTCTATCACTGGACAAAATTAGCCTAATTGGACGTTTGGAGAGCAGGGCGGGACAGATAGTGGGATGAGTGACCTGGAGGCTCAGTTGTGTGGCTCTTAGCTGACGGCTGCCTCGGGCTTCCCTTCTGGGAAGTGGCTGGTGAGTGTGACAGAAGAGGAAAGTGGTGAAAAATAGAGCAGGCTGGACACTTAAGAGAAAAGTCATAACTCACGAGCTCCTCTTTATCACACTTGGACAGCACATATCTGGTCAGCCGCTGATAAAATGCTTGAACTTAATTACTTCTTCAAGAGTGTCCAGAACCAAGTATGAGGCTCTTATTATTAGGACCCATATCAACTTCAAGGCTAAGACCGCCGACTCTGAGATGCTCCAGATAATCTTTGTTATTTCTGCTGTTATGACTTCCCCCCCTTTTTTTTTTCTTAAAAGAAAGTTTCTAGAAATTAAGTATCTACTATATGAAAACTTTCTAAATGAAGAAAAGAAGTACACATCTAATGGTCAGGGAATTGTTTAAGCACAACTCCTGCCATTGGCTGAGCACAACAGAAAGTGTTCATTAAATATTTGAACTATTTTTAAGAACTGAAGTTAAAGGTGTTCTGTGACGGCAATAGTTGAACAGAACAGACACACTGATAGCATGGAAGAAGCTAAATAAGCAGAGGCACGGCTTTGTTTGTAAGGAGAGGGCTTTTGTAATCGGAATAATTTAGTCCTCAGTCCGAGGGAGGTCATTATCCCAAAGGCAGGAAATACACAACATGAACCACATCAACAAAACGGAATGTCGTTCTTTTTATCCAATTTCCTACTGCAAAATAATTAAGGCCATTCACGCCGCCTACGGGAGACTCCCGTCTTCTGGAAATCTGAGTCCTGGGTGTCTTTTTTTATTTTGGAGGAAGTTGACCACAAGGTCTTTGCAGTACCTGTGGAGAGTCACTAGAAAGCTCAAATGTTTTTAGAGCATATAGTTGATAGAAATTGAGTAATATAAAGTATCCAGTAGCTGAAAATGTAAAGAAACAACTGTAATTATTAATTGATTGACATGGCTCTAATTAAAGCCAACCACGAATTCACACTTAAATTCATTCTAAATGCATTATTTGGCTTGTATATTTATTATTCACACAGTGGGATTTAACCACCTGGAGAAGACATAGTGTACACATAGAACCTTGAGGCTATCATCCATGTCTGGAACGAACCTATGACGTTATACTGTCAGGCAGCAGCCACAACCACAGCATAAAGCCTTAAAACTGAATAAATCATTTATCAGAAGTCTGGCTCTGATGTCACTTGTAAACAGACATCTGCTGTTCTGTTATTTGTTCTGTCTGAACCCCCTGATTGTTTTAGGTTAACATTAGCCATTGCTTTGATGGATTTTAAACCCCAAAGTGCCGAACAGAGGGGAGATTATTTTCTCTTCCATAATGTCAAACTTGAAGGCCTTGAGGCTCTCGAACAGAGGGGCAAGGACCGAAAAACTTTACTCAGTCACGTAAACAATACAGCAGTGATTAAGTGTGAGGCTGAAACTGTCCCTGTAAAATAAAGTGCTCCGGGAACCGCTCCAGTTACTCAATCTGGAGAAAAAAAAAAGCTTAATTCAAACAAAGGAACACATTCCAGACTGACACAATTTAGCAGGGTCAACAGCCGACCTCTTAGCTTGGCTCTGGCTTCCTGTAGAACTGTAGCTCTAAGTATGAAGAAAAAAAAAAAAAAAGAAAAGTCGTCTTGAACATTGGGAAAGAATTTTCTGGCTTTGTGGAAGTAAGTACACACCCATGCCAAAACACACACGTAGGGAAAAACATGGCGCGGTGATTAAACTTTACTTATTCATACATGTTGCAACCGAGAGAAAACTCTGCAAATGTTATCTAGGAAACCATTTCCACATCTGAGCAAAAGAAAACGTCCATACAACTGAAAAAGCTGGCGTCCAGTCTCACTCCGAAAACATGCCCAGATGACAAGAAATGCACTGCTGTTAAAAAATACACAGAACTGGGCTCTACTCATAGAACAATTCAGTTTGAACACAGCTTTGGTTATTAAAGTACACAGATATTAGCCAGTTATGGCCCACAAACCATATGTTTGACACCCCTTTACTATGTTCCTCAGCCTCAGTGGAACAGGATAAGAATACTTGCTTTTTCAAGGTCAACTGTACCAGTACTATGTCAGCGTTAGTGCGTGTGTGTGCGTGTGTGTGTGGGGATTTGCCTAAACTATGAGTGTCTGGGGGGGCGGTCTTCGTGGGCTCTGTCCAGAATGAGTGAGTGAAGTCATCTGAAATGAGAATGTAGGTTGTTGGGGAGGTGGAGGAGTGTGGTACTCAGGTCTCCCAAATAAGGAAATGGATAAGCCTTCACTTATCAAGAGAGAAGAAGAGGAAAAAAAAGAGAGCACAGGCTCCGAGGTTATATCTGCATTGGTGAGCTTTTAAGGAGTGGTATCCCAGAGAAGATAATGCAACAACAAAACTATTATAATGCAGCACAGGCTAATACTCGCGCCAGGGCTGTGATATCTTTACACATGAGAATCCCCACGGTTTGACTTTCTGAGACGGAATGTGCAACAGGATCTACATTTGTGGAGTGTTTAAGAGATCAAGCAGAGGCTCTGGTGCGGTGCCAGATGTTTCTGGGTTTTTTGGACTGTGACCGTGGAAAGAAAGTGGCACATGTTGGAGTGACATGTGGCAGCGAGGACCATCAGGCCCAGGACCTCAGGGAGTCCACATGGACAGGGTAAATTTGTCTGAGAGGAAGTTGACGCCACTTGTCATTCAAATGGCGCCACATTTGTATAGCTCTATTTAAGAATGACATACAGAGTGTAACCTCAAGATATGAGCATAATCCGTTCCAGGACCGAGCTCGTAACACGAGGTGCTCGTATCTCGAATCATTGTTTCCCATAAGAAATAACAAAAAAAAAACTTTTAATTGCTATAGAGACACACACACACACAAATAATTCCAGTATATAAGGATTCCTGTGATATAAAATAAAATGTGGTTTTAATTATGAGTTCTTACCTTTGAGACTGACAATACAGTAGCGGCTAAGGGTGGAGGAGGGAGGGAGGAAGGGAAGAGAGTTGGCCCGTACGTAGACACTTGATTCTGACCGCACCTTACACGAACACTACGGAACTTACGTGTTCGTATCTCAAAACTTTACTCGTATCTCGAAGCAAGAATTTCCTTGAAATACTGGTATGTCGAGACGCTCGTATCTCGAGGTTCCACCGTACTGTACTTTAACATAATGACATAATACATTAAAATATGTTCATCTAGGACGTTATCAATAAAATGCTCAATGATTTGTTGCTTAAACATTGACTCTTGACTAGAAGCTATCTACATGTAGGGGTAGTGCAACGATGTAGGCCAAACAGGCTGTTGCTGAGGATCTCTGAATTATACTTCAACATTGACCTTAAAAAATGCCATTCAGAAATGTTTCAAACAGATTTAAATACCTATAGATTTATCTCCACGTTTGGATCAAATAGTAACGATAAAAAAAACCTTTG